GCTTTCGCCTGTTGTGCTATTTAATTCAATATCTATTGATTACAATTTGAACAATAAAATGATCTATAAAAATGTACCTCGTGACCTCAGACTTAATCCAATGATTTAACGCTTAATTCGAAATCTGCGAAATGTTTTTGCTTTTTAACGATCTAACCAAATGTTCTTTTTAATTAAATTTTTTGGTAATGCGGATTATATTAATTAAAATGTTTTTCTCTTAATTTGCTATATAATGTTGGTATCGTATAACTTTAAATCATGCGATGTTAAAGTTTTTTAATCGAAATAAAATGAAGTGCAGTGCTAGTGCAAACGCACGGATCTTCCTTGGAGGGTAAGAGCAACCATAAAAAATCTAATATATAAGTAATGAGAATTTTAAATGGTTACGAAAAATAATTTTTATTCGCTAACAAATGTTCATGCCACACGCAGAATGATTTCAGAAGTGTTGGTTTATTGCACACCAGATGACATAAAATCTTACATATAAATACAGGCCATTTTGTCAGTGTCTTAATAAATAAACTTGAATCAAATGAAAATTTTTTAAATTAATTTTCATGTTTCAAGTTTTTTAAAACTATGTTGTTTTAAATTTATCTTTATCACGCCTCCTTGATATGAACATTTTTATTCAACATTTTGATAAACTGAATTCAGACACCTAATTTAAAAACTTTTGATCTGCATTTAATAATGAACGTTGACTGCCAAACTAAACAATCAGTCGTCTCGTTCGTGTGTGCAGCCCAAACCATGGCCACAACCACAACTCCTAATAATTACATAATAAAGAAGGTAGGTAAGTAAGTGAATGAACACTATAAACCCACGTATTGTTAAATAATCTTTAACTCTAAATTTTAACAGTTAGCACTACAAAACCTTGCGATTACCTCTGCTGATGGATATAAATAATTTTAGACTCACCCGACATATTATTCCTTCATTCATTCATATATTTATTCATTCATTCACTCACTCATTCATTCATTCATTCATTCATTCATTCATTCATTCATTCATTCATTCATTCATTCATTCATTCATTCATTCATTCATTTATTCATTCACTCTCAATCGCTCATTAATTCTCAATTGCTCATTCATTCATTCACATGCTGTAGAATCGGCGGAAGATTACATCATTGTTGAACATGAGTTTTATTCCAAAGAATACAATTTATACAGTTATTCAGGTTATTACTGCACTTTTTAATCAATGAAAAGTGATATAAACACCCACTCACCCACACACACACACACACACACACACACACACACACACACACACGCACAAAAACACACACACACTCACACAGACACTCACACACGCATACACACTCACACTCATAAGAAGCTCACGTGATAACTACAACGTCACAAAAATATTGACGCATGTGTACTCTGCTATTCAACAGCTATAAACAGGTTAACAAAATTCACATACCGGTTTCAACATACATAAATAAATAAATATACCTTATACATATATGTATATATATATATGTATATATATATATACATATATACTTGAATGTATGTAAACATATAACATCCATATGCCATTGTTTAAGTGTCTGTTAATTTAAACATGGTAAATTAAATTTATCTGCATATTTGCGAACGAATAACCTACACACACACCCACACACTCACACACAAACACACACTCACACACACACAAACACCCACTCACACACAAACACACTCACACACACAAACACACTCACACACACAAACACACGTAACTTGTTGCATTCCAACTGATCCAACAGTTTGAAAAAACCAGCATGTTACGGTGGGGCCGCTTTTGCTCAGGAATAATACACATACACATATATACTGTTATATATATATAATATATATATTACGTTTTTATGCCTCATACTACTGTTTCTTCCTTTTATACCAGCTTTAAGGAGTTCTTTATGTTCGGTCTCAAAATATTCTCAAGTATTCCAAATGTGTAAGTCTTGTTATCGTTAATTTGAAGTAATCGGAATTTCGATCAATAAATTCAAGAACCTAGAACATTTTATTTGGCACCAACCAAAGCAAACTTTTAGGATGCCGTGGCGTGGAGGTATTGTTCTGCCATCTTGTATTTTCCCTATTCTCCCCATTATAAACTTAACTGCTGCTTCTTCTTTCCAGTAAAGTGACACAGGCGTTTTATTTGATGCGGAGGTGTGCTTGCAGTTTAGGTGCATGTGATAGGCAAAGCTAATAAACAGGATATAATGACACAAATGCTTCCATTGCTTCATTTCAATTCCTATGGATAATCCAATGATAACTACTTTTGTATGACAAGCTGCATGTCTAATATATAAATTATTTTTCCGGTAAACAACACAAATTAACAAGGTGGCAAAACAACGATTTCAAATAGATGCACTTCAAACGAGAATTTAAAAAGAAGCATCGACTAAAAATCTCTATAATCATTAACCGAGCAAGATTATACTGTAATAATAACTGCACTGAATAAATAAGAGAGGTGTGCTAAGCTGTGCATTGCAAGCCACTACGTGTTTCGTGGTCGCCTGCCATATGTTACTCACTGGCGTTCAAAAACCTGGTGCGAACGTACCTGAAATAAGCGGACTATAAAATAAATAAAGCTCCTATAAAATATATTACAAATATACACACATACTTAGGCTTACGCAAACATATTTGTATATAAAAATAATTATATAAAAACATATTCATATATAAGATGAAACAATACGTTATGTAAAAAAATCAATGTGAACATATTTAATTTAGTTTATTTTGAATTTTAATAAACTAAACGTTCTCCTAAAATCTTTAGTGAAAAAAATCGAAAAAAACGAACTATAAACATATTAACGCCAAACATTCGGTAGAATTTATAGAATATTTAAAAAATATATATATATATTTATATATTCAATTAAGACTGTCAGAAATGTATTTATTGACGAAAATCACTACTTGCTCCGAGTTAGCTTTCTGTTTAGTTTTTATTTTATCGGTATTCCGATACCATCTTGCTGTGATTTTTATTACTAATATAATATAAATATTGGATTAAGACTGTCAGAAATGCATTGTCTGGAACATAAACTTAAAATGCATTTATGACAGTCTTAATCCAATATTTACTAAAAAACCACGGACTGGGAGCAACATCGAGAACGACCACGATGATCGACTGGGACATGAACTTATAATCAATAATTTCAATAATCAAAGATATATATAGTTATTAAGAAATATACAGTATATACGACAGTCTGAAACCAAATGTATATGTATGAACTATCTAAGCAAATGTAACAAACATTAATTAACGCATGTCTATTTGTCTACTTTTTTCATGTTAAAATAAATGTAGACACTGTCTAGTATATTTTACTATACGAATATGGCCGGATAGTGAAAAGGCTAAGCTCCGGTGCAACCCTAATACATACATACACCCATATTTACATACATATATATATATATATATATATATACACATAAATAAATACATATTAATAATATTAGTTATATATGTATCTTTATTGTTTAGATTATATATTAAAGTTAATACTGTAGTCGTGATGAAAACAGGCTGCATATTGTAAAGCTTGAAGCAAATGTTTTAAATTGAAATTGGGTGAATAACATATTGTACAATATATATATATATATATATATATATATATTTATTTATTTATATAAAATATATATATATATATACGCATACAATTTTATTAAATTCTATCGCTATAGTATTATTTACTTTATTATTAGAAAAATAGAGAAATTAAAATTAATAAAAATACTATAGCGAAAGAATTTAATGAAAATTGTATATATATATATATATATATATTTATATGTGTATATAATACAGTAACAATGATTAATTTATTTTTAATATAATATAATACATATATATAACATACATATGTTCATATATTACAGTGAACCTGATTCACCAATTTTTAATACCAGCCTCGCACGCTTAGTGCGTTGGGATGTCGACTAGCTGATCGTTTGTAACTTGTTATAAGAATTACTTAGTTATGTTAAATTAGAATAAATTTCTACGTTGAATAAAATTCAATTAAAAATGGAAAATTAATTAAATTTTGTAGAAAATTTTTGATAATTCGGTGTTTGGGCCAGAGTTGGAGTACTGGATTAATTGTCGTGGAATCGCCATGTTGGTTATTCTTTGTCATGTTAATCGCCTAGAGTCTTTTTTATAGTAAAGTAAAATACATAAATATTGCTGTCAAAATAATTTTTTTATCGCCTAATACATCGAATTATTTGTATCATTAAATTCACAATGTTGCCGCTAATTTTCACCTCATTTTCTTAGCATTCTTTTCACATTATTTTCATTTTGAATGTCGTTTCGTCTGGTTGAAATTCCGGGATTTTTAGAGAATCAAAATCAAATATTTGACTTTCGAGTTTAAATTCAAACTTTGTTCAGCAGTGATGAGAAGATCACGTTAACGGGTTTTTTGCGTGAAAAAGCAGCGATCTCATTTTGTACTAATTAAAATATTTAATTTACTTATTTATATTTTTGTATGTATTATTTATATTTTGTCTTTTTTATTCTCAATTTTAACCAGTACTAAGTAATAGTGCTGTACTAGTCATTTTTTCTTCCTCAGCTCAACAGATCATCACAAAACAGGTAGCCCGCTCTTCTTTGAATCTTTGATTTTAATTAGTATCGCAGTAACTAACATACAACAGTGAACTTGAACGAACAGCCCCTCGTCTATCTACTATTGCTTGTCTTAAACACAGTTTTCGAGCAACATCCCATTAGCTGATAATTTAAATTGGTTATGATGTTAGATCTAGATAAGGGCGACTCATTAGTGAAGGCGAGTGACATGTTAAGGACACAGTTACATCAAATTTCTCATCAAGATGTTACCAAACAACAGCAACAAGAAGAGCTGTCCATGTTTGATTTTTATAAATTAGTTGGTCTTCAATCAACATCTATGACACTGGATTGCATATCTTTAATTATTGCCATTATCATCTTTGGAGGCTGGTGGTTGCAGTGGATTATTCATGTTACTGCCATAATATATGGGTATGTGTAGTTATATTTTATATTTAACAAATTATTTGAATATCTTTATTTCAACAACTGCGACATTTTTTCACCTTTAGTCATTCATTCTCTTTTACAGTTTACCATCATGTAGTGGCAGATCTGAAGATTTTATGAGCAGTAGTTGTATTAAAAGTCAGTAAAACTCATTGTTTTAACCAGAAAAAGCAAAGATTTTTACAAAAAATATCTTTAATAAACAAAAAATATCATCAGCCTAATTTGACTACATGTTAGCTCCCCATGAAATTTTTCAAGTTGTCTAGATCCGCCACTGGCATCATGTTTTACTGGTTATCATATAGAGTTCAAGTTATATATTTCTACTAAATTACATAGCAATTATTATAATTTAGTTACACAAATGCAGCTGTTTTGAAGGATGTGAGTTTATAAATTAAACATGTTGTTGAAGACCTCTGCCTACTCCAGCGATAATTCAAATTTTTAATATAAATTTTTTTTAGTTTTCACTAGTGTCATAGTTTCTAAACATCGGACAAATAAGATTAACATTTCCAGTTATTGAACTGTTACTTAGTTGACTAGATGCTATTTTGATTTTATTAACAATCAATTAATTAAGTGGATCAAACAGGATTTAATTAATTAATTAGGCAATTAATTACATTGCTTGTGATGATAGCTTAAAAAACATTATTATTTACCACCTGTAAAGGCTAATGCTTGTTAATTGATCTATCATTTAGTGATAAGAACTGTCTGTAGTCATACAGGGATGTTATTAATGTTGTGAACTCCATTTTTTAATAATTATAATGGCAATAACAATTACTAATATTAATATTGTTTTTTTAATTTTTATTTTTAATTATTTAACAATATATGTGTGTAGCATAAAATCTATTGGCATTTTATGAGGTGAATGTTTTTAATTAATAGAAATTAATGAAAATGCTTAATAAGGCTAGAACTTGTATGAGAATAAATTTCTTGAAATTAAAATCATCACAAACATCTGTTGGGTTTCATCCATTTATATGCTCATGATTTTTATCAGTCAAATTATTAATGATAAGCAGATTAGAATAATTCTGTTTGATGCTGGTGTCTTTTTCTTGTCTTGTTGAAATTCAATAACTTGTAATATTACTTGAGATTTAAATAAAAGAAAATTGTACAAATCAAATGTATATATATATATATATATATGTGTGTGTGTGTGTGTGTGTGTGTGTGTGTGTGTGTGTGTGTGTGATTATATTTATAAGTATAAAATTTTTATAAAAATTTAGGTATTTTATTTATAATAATAAGTGTATTTTCATTTTATCTTCTTCCTCCTCAGTTATCTTTGTTATAATGTATCTTTTTATCTCTTTTTTTATCGCTACAGCTAATTTTGAATGATAAAAATGAAAAAATTATGAATCTTGCATAAAGATGTTAATATGTCCTCATTATTGAACATTAATTGCATGCTCTAGTTCTAATTAGCTTCCAAAATATCATTTTCTTTATTTCTTGATTAATTTATTTAAAATCAAGTCAATTGCAGTGAAATAACAAATAAAGTGGTCATCAGAGGCCAAATAAGAATAATACTTGCATAGGCCACTATGTCACTACAAAAGAAAACCTATAAACGTTTAAAGTAAGTTTAGATGTTTAGATAATTAAGTAAGTGACATCTTTATACAAAGTCCTGTGATGAAAACTGAAAAAAAAATAATGACACAATTATGAAAGTACAATTAATAATTAAGGAGATAACAGAGAAAAAAAACAAACAAACAATTGTACATGACAAATCAGGATTATACAACTGAAGCATTAACATAATCACCATCATCTTCCTCATCATGGTCACAGTTACAGTAATTATCATCATCATTAACATATCCATCTTATACTTAAGTATGTTAGTGCAATTTAGGAAATCTCACATGATATCTCTATTTAATTGCCATCCATCTTTTTCAACATCCTTAATTATGTATCATCATTTATTGATGCTACTTAACAGTGCAGATGCTGGCAATTAAGAAATTTTATAATTACTTGGTCTGCCATTACCACAAGCTAATGACCTACCAATTTATATTCATGTTCATCTATTTTTCGTTATTTATAAATATATGATTTTATTTATCTTCAAACTCAAATTGATGATAAAACTCTTATAGTTTATGCTTGGGTTTTACATAGTTGTAAATTTAAATGAGGGACTCTTTCTGTATGATTTACTAGCAGTCATATTATTTTTAATTTTTGCAAACTACATTATGGTAAACACATTGATCTGATGTTTGATGTTCATTGTTGATTTATTCTCTGACTTTATGTCATAGATATAGTATGATTTGTTTTGATTTGTTAAAAAATTGTCATCATTTTACTTGATTGATGTTGAACTTAGTTTAACTTTGAAGTTAAGTGTTATTTATATTTGCATCCGTTATGTTGAAGATAGGTGAAGTTGAAGTTTTCTAAATACTTTTTATTCTTGAGATCTTTCCACTTCTACCTTTCAACATTTAAAATAAGCTGGTAAATTCATTATTTGGTTCATAAATTGTTGAAAGTGTTTTGGGTGTATATAAGTATTTGAGTGTTCTTATCAAAGGTAAATCACAGCTTGTTTTGTATGAAAACTATGGTTGTAATTATTATTACTATTATTATTAAAATTATTATCATTACAGGAAATTTTAGATTTTTGTATTACTATGTAGAAGGTTTTACACCACTATGTAAATAATGTGATGATCCATGTATTAATAAACTGTTCTATATCTTTTGTTTAGACCTATGAATGTCCTCCCATGTATATTTCAATATTTTCTTGGAAGGGGTGCTGAATGGTTTCTTAAGTTCTCTGCATTGAAAAGGGCCCTATTTTGGGGTGGATGTAGTGGAGACAACTATTGTCGTCAAATTTTTGCCATTTTTCAAAAATCACCGTGTTAAACTAATAATGGGTTAATTTATTTTTGACATTGCCTGAGAGAGTTCAACAGCAGTTACTTTTAACACATATTTCATTCAAAAAGGATTGTCTGATTGGATGTTCTCTTTTTATTCTATCATAATTAGCTACCAACACAGTTGATCAAAAGAACATGTCAATGACATGCCTACTTGACCTTTTAAGATAATGATCCACAAATATCAAAAATATGTGCAAACAAATTTGATTTGAATTGAATATGTCATTTTTACCAATTCACATTAGTATTGTTATTATTTATTATTATTATTATTGTTGTTGTTGTAGTTGTTGTTGATGGTGATGATGTTTTTACTGTTATGATGTTAATGTCATTTTAAATCGAAATGGATGCTTAGATATTTCATTTATTCAGCATTTAATTGCTCACATATTCATATTGTATGTGAGATTCAAAGTTTGATATTTACATTTCTTCTTAGTTTGAATCATTTTCAAGCAGCAAACACATCATTGGAATTGTATCTTTTTGTAGTTTGTGTCAAATGTGGTTTTTTTTTGTAATTTGCGTCAAATGTTGAAAAAATTTGAAAAAATTCATTTCAATATATGTGTAGTTTTTTGTTAAGATTTTTATATTTGATAACACAATAATAAATTATCATAGGAAACATAGCCACGCATGACCCAGCATAATATAAATTAATGAGTGGCTATGGGGACGGAACCATTAAGTTGTAATCATGTAAAAATGATAAATTTATATCATTGAGCTAAAGATATTACAAATATTGTAGCTTGAGTTAATTGTAGTTATTTGATTTATTTTTAATGGTTATTGAGTGGTTACTAAATGGTTACTACTATGATGATGATGAAACTAACAGTGAAATAGATGATCCCAGTTACAGTTAATCTTAATGTCTACCATTCAATGGTCAGTTTTTTTCAATGCTGATCAGTCAGAATAGTTTTCTTTCTTGTAGTTTTTCTCTCATTTACATTCTATTTTCATCTTGTTTTAGATTTGTTGTGCATGTATTTAAATGAGAAGGTTTCATTCTTCTTGTTTCTGCTATTGTTTGTTCTCCTTTGATTGTTGGTATCTTAATTAGACAACACTTCAAAACAAGACAATGTAACAACACAAAACTTAAAAATTCTTATAAATTATCTCAAATAGTTGAGAACAAATTGTTATCAATATAACAAAGTCAAATTTTAAAGCAAATTAATTAATTGATTAATAAATTTAAAATAAAGTAATTTTAAAATTGATATCTACCATACCAAACTAATATTAACAAACTAAATCATCTTCAAACAGTCGAATAAAACTTCATCGGAAGCTATCAGCTCCACCTGATTTCCAGTTCCCTGGCGTCAGCATACTGAAGCCACTGACAGGGGTTGATCCAAATCTCTATGCCAATCTTGAAACCTTCTTCCATCTATTGTATCCCAAGGTAAGTTGAAAATAAATGGCTTTTTATTGCTATTATTACCATTTCCAGGTTCATTATTGTATGACGGGCATTGTATGTGATGCCATCATTGATATTTAATAATTGCACAACGACTTGATCTTTTGAAAACTACTTAGTAATTAATTTGAAATTAATTGATTTTTTTTATTTTACATGTTTTTCATTTTTTAAGAAAATTAAGTTGTGTTTTTCAAGGGAGATTGCATTCATTTTTGCACATGATACATGATTACAACTAACAGTTCTGATGATTTTTTGCAGTATGAAATACTGTTCTGCATAGAAGAGGAGACTGACCCGGCTGTCATGATAGTCAAAAGTCTGCTCAACAAATACCCAAATGTCGAATGTTCACTTTTTGTCGGAGGTCAGTGATGCTGTGCTGTTTTCAATGAGTTTCATACTTTTCTATCTTATGGGCTTCTTTAAAAATGATATATCGTTTAGAGTATTATCATAATGTAATATCATTAATATTATTATTAATATAATATCTTCGATAATTGGAGTGTGATGCAAGTTGCTTTTATTAAGCAATTGCTTTGTTATTGCTGTCATTGTGACTGATTTGATTAAATTAAATTAAAATATCGCATATTTGTATATAGATTAACCTCGGAATAATATCTATTTGATAATTTTTCTTTAAATTTAACAAATTAGGCAGGTAACATACATAAGCTTTTCCTGTGAAATTTGGCTAAATTAAATGTTAAACATAGGCACAATTTACTCTTAAAAATTGTGACTCTTTAACAAAGATATAAATATCTCAAGCCTATTTTTTTAGAGCAACATTTTTCCTCATCTGTTATCAATTCATAAAATGTTACTAGAAAATTTTCCATCCACACATCTTTTTAATATGTTAGTTTAGTAGTAGATGGGTCAATATCATTGATGTTTGTAATGTTGTAAAATGAAGTTGGTTCTTTTTTGTTTGATTGCTTGTTGTTGTTGTTCCTTACCTTGTTGTTGTTGTTGTTGATTACGTTGATTGCTATCATTGTGATCAGACATCAGAAAGAGAATTATCAGGGGTGCATGTTGTTGTTGTTACTAAATTAAAAAGTACAACACAAGATGTTACCAGCATTTCAATTGATTGATAATGATTTCTTTAATTTTTCTATTATTCCATACGTTGTTGTTGTTGTTGTTGTTTCTAAATTTTTTTTATTCACAAGCTTACACTCTGTATGTATATGCAATGGATTGATTATCTTGTTTAGATTAGGAAGATATTTGTATAATTACTTACTGACTGATAAGTATTAGTTCATATAGTATTATTAAATAATTAGATAATGATGGTGATTACGATGTGGTTGATAATATGATGATGTTCATTGGTTATAATTTTTGGTCTATATCAGATTACATACATATTATTTAACTTTATCTTATGAACATAATTAATATGCTTATATTGCATTGTTAGTAACAGTTCTCAGATTATCCACTTTGCAAATTTTGACCCACCCACAGTAATTATCTTTATCTGTAGCCCAACTCTACTGATTTTAAAAGCACCCCTTTTTAGTTGTCAGTTTTTATATTCAAATCACTCATTGTTGTGTGCTCCAGCATATTAGTAATAAAATTTTAAAATTTGTAGGAACTCTTCAAGACATTTGAATTATGTATTATAATTTTATTAAAATTATATTATATTATTAATATAATATAATTATATTAGCTATAATTAGCTAGATATAATTAGTTATAATATAATTTATAGCTCAGAATTTAGCAATTGAAAGGACAAGTTTATATTTATTAACATTATTCAAATAAAAATATGAGCTGGTATTTTATTTGTGAGCACATTTTATTGTGAGCCACATCATCATTCATCTTTGATGTGATGTTGGTCAACATCATAGTTGTCTATCCAGTATAATATTCAGGATGGTGACGATGACGATGGGATTTTTTCACCAAACTATATTTATTCAAACTTATATGTATTTGGAAGGAGACCATAATTGATGAAATATTTGATAATATATGGAGTTTTTAGCTCTTTAGCTTCTTACTCACTAGTGTAAGATTATAAGATGCATCATTGGTTAGGTTATGTCCGTTGGTATATAAAAGTGTATATATATATATAAAGAGTAAAATAAAAAAAGTTTAATTGAAAATGTTTGTTACATTAGTTGGTTTGACATTTTGGAGTTTTAGTATAATGTAAAATCAACATACATTTGAGTGAATTACACTGTAGGCTTGCTAGCAGCCTAAGCATTGATTTTCATTTGAAACATGTTCTGTTCATGATCACACTGATTCAAAGCATGATATGTTTGTTTTCTTGTCACCCTCAAATACATTTTATTTTATTTGATCTGTATATATTTTTTGAGCTCAAACTTCTGTGGAATATTGTTATTAATAAAAAAAAGAATATTTGCTTTAGTTTGCTTATTTTATTGTTTACCTTGTATCTGTCTATGTAGAAAATAATCATTGTATGTTTATTTATTGTGTAACGTTTATTCACCTTACCTATAAGAGGTACTTGAGATTATTTCTGATTTACATTCCTTTTCAGAATGTTTGCAATTTAACATTCTATTACTGGAATACTTAAATTTGCATATGTGTGAATTTGTGGAAAATATATTATTATTAAATTTATACTTTGTTCTTAATTTGTTTTTTTTTATCATTCCATTAAATTTGAGTAGAAAAAACAAACACGGAAATGAATAATATAGAGAGGAGTTTTTTTTTATTCTAAATTTATATTATATTTATATTATATCTGTTTCCCCTTACATCATAATTTTTAAACTGGAAAATTTGTGTTTTTTCCCTGAAAATGTTGGGTTGAATTTTTTAATGTATAACCTGGAAGTGATGTGATGGGAAAGTTATAAAAAGTTATATAGTTTTTAATTTTTTTATCTTTTTAAATTTCAACCTTCATGCTGACGAATGTCATATGCTATTGTTATGATAAAAACGTGTTTCTCAGTAATGTTGGTATGATATGATGTCTTAGCGGTTTTAATGCTGTTGTTTTATGTACTTGAGCTAATAATTCAGTTCAGTTGGTATTCTATCAGAAAGCAATTTAATTGATGTTTCTTAGACCAGCTTGACTTAAATAGTTGAACATTTTGAGAGATACCCTACATTATAATAGTGAAAATAAGTGTGCATAATGCTTTTATTATCTGTTTTTAACATTGCATCATTGTCATATTGTCACCATGCCATTGTCAAATTACCATTATATAATCATCATATCGTTTTTGTTGTGGTCTAGACTGTAAAAGTTATTTTTTTAGAAACTTTTAATTTCAATAAATATGTTTATCATTATGTGTCATTGTTGCTTTATGGTTGCAACAACACCATTCTCACATAACTGTAAAGTCAGCCATCCTTCATTATTCATTGCAGTGTAGAACTAGTTATAAGATTACTATCAGATTTCAACCTTTCAGTAAACCTAATAGCACAGTAAATTATGTTTGATAATTATTTTTATATTAAATTTTTGCTTAGATTTTCCAGAATTAGCCATTGAACATAATTTGAAATTTAATATTTATAAATAAGTCACTATGCACAAATTGTATTACATTCATCAGAATTATATTTAGTTTACTATGCAATTACTTATTAGCAATTTAGTAATAAGCTTTCTTTTAATCATATTGAATAATTAATTAACTATAACATTGGCTATTACTCATGAGATAACTAAGTAACCATTTTAAATAATTACTGAATAAATGAATGGCTACTGACTATATAATGAGTAAATAGTTCTTACTGTTGAAGCATTGTGAGTTTATCATCCAACATTAAATTTGTCTAAACAATTGGAATAGATTTGTTTATTTAAATATTCGGGTGATATAGTACTCTTTAAGTTTTGTGAGTTTAAAGATGGAGGTGTTTTTATAATTATGGATAATGTTGTACCCAATGATGGTGTTGATGCCATTGATGATGATGAATATGTTTATAAGGTTGATGATGAGGTGAATGATTAGGAAAAACTCATACTTGGTTCTCCTATGATGATGTCTCTACAGCCAGGAGTGTTTGTTGTGCTGTTCTCTTTGCAGTGATTAGCTTTTTTTATTATACCATAAATATTTTAAATAATGAAAATTTGGACTGGTATTATTTGGTCTTCATTTTGCAGTTTACACACAATTTATAATTTTCAAAATAATATCCATTACTATTCATATTAATATTAATGACAAGTTTTATTTAAAAAAGATTTTTAGGCTAGGATTTTAATGGTTATTTGTAATGGCGAGGTTTTCATCTATCTAATATACCTTTATTGCATTCCAATGTTAAGTTAAACTTGAAATTACATAATAGACAGCAGTATAACTAAACAATAGTGGCTTAGTGCTTAATGATAATGACATAATGAAACACATAGGAATGTTGTAACAATGTTGTAACAAATCAAAATAACAATGGCATGAGTGGCCACAGTTCAATTAAAGCAGCCCAATGTCAACATCATTTACCTAAGTGGCAGCCAGCACATTCAACAAGGAAGGCAGGCACATGTGGAAAACTTAACTTAATTACATGTAGTTTGGCATTTAATTTTTACCGTTTGTGGTGTTAATATATTTTTTATTTCGTTGACATTTTATGCTAGGCCGTTTTTGTGTCACATTAACAATGTGATGTCATAATGATCTCGTCCATATCATCAGCTATTCTGTTTTGGTTAACGAAATTCATTCTATCAAAATTGCATGCTTCTTTGATGATATTGTAATTTGTTTACTTTAATTTTTTGTAAAAAATGATTAATTATATAGTATGAAGTATAGATGCTGTATGTTGTAAGCTGTTTATGATCTTTAATAGCTGCAATATTAACAGGTTTTGTAAAATGGTTCATCGTGATTTATTGTTTTAAAAGTAATTTTTATATTTCAGTTAACTGATAGGACAAACACGCTCACCTGTTGATCAGTTAGATTTCTCTGTTACCATTGTCTTAATTTCTTAATAATCCTCTTTATTTAGTCTTGTTTATTTATTTATGTTTCAAGGTAACTTTATCTCTTCTCAAAATTATTTTGAATAAACTTAGCATTCATTAACCTCCCTTTCTTCTTTTCATTTTTTTCAAAAAAGCCAAACCACCTTAGCCAGCCTACCCAACCTTATAACATTTGCAAACACCCACTTCAATGTTTTTCAAGAACTTCATCATTTTGCTTATCCTTCATTCTTATGTTTGAACTTCTAGTTATTATAATGTTAATGTAAGGCGGTGGTTGTTAAGTGGCAAGAATCAAGTTTATTTTTCAAACTTTCTTCAAAGCTACCGTAATATGATTATTACAAATTTTCAAAATGCATTCT